ACTTTATTATGGTATAGTATTTAAATGCATGCCTGAGAAACACATAATATTGCCCCTTTAACACAAATAGTAGTAAAAGTTTAACAGCTTAATTCCTGTAAAAAGAAAAAAAATACAATAACAACTTATTGTAAGGGTCTGCACATTTTGGGTTTAATTATCCTCCAGGGTTCTTTATGTTATTCTGTTGTCACTCTGTGTTTTGGATCCTTTGTTTCTTGTGCTCTGTCTCCCTCATGTGTTCTTAGTCATCATTCATCTTTTCCTGCCAGCTCCAGTCAGTCACTCACCTGTTCATTGTTTGTAATCAGTCTTCCTCCAGGTGTTGCTCATCTTCCTTCTCCCTCAGTTTGCATTTAACCAGTCCTTTGTCACTACTTCTTTGCTGGATCATTGTATGGCTCACCCTTCCGTCTCAATCGCCCTGTGTCTCATGTAAGTTTTGCTGCCTCGACAGCTTTTTGTTTCATTTAATAAATAAGTTTTGTTTTGAGCTCCTTGTATCTGCCTCAACAAGACCCTTGACATTTGCCCCTTCACTAATGTCTTTAAATTCAACAAAGTCTAACACCTCTAATGACCTGATWTAAATCCTACCATTTTAATCTGGTCTGTAAAGCTTCACAATYCAGTGTTATGGGTGGATTTTTTAATCTCTCACCTCTTTTCTGAGGCCATGAAACCATCATATTCCGCTGCCATCTTGCAGGACAGAGCCTGCTGGCTGTGATCTGAGAGGCAGCTCGTTACCTCCAAGTTATAACCTGGAGGGGAAAAGTAAATCAGATCAAAAACAAGAAAGGATCATTCAGTGCTGTTTTTCAGTTTGGGGTCTTGCCAAAACATTCTCTTTTCATAACKKGGGAAAAACARTGAAAAAGAAAWTAAAGGAGAATTTWAAAAAATCATCAAAATTATTCAAGGGTGAAATCATAATCCATGCATAAATAAGCATGTAAGAGAAAAGCTAAGGCAGTTTAAAAATAAAGTGAGAAATATTATGTAAGCATCAAGACTTGGGACATATTTGGTCGCTGCACTCTCAAATCTCTGTTTTTGGATCTCCTCCATTTCTTCRGAGCCAGCCGCTTATATAGGGTGACAAGGTCTGACCTGTTCTTTGTGTTTAAATTGATCATTTATAAGTGGTTATACCAGCTGGGAGAGATGGCTGGAAACAAAATGAGGTGCCTGTTTCAAGCATTACAGTTGATGGCAGGTGGTAAATCTGTCACTGCATCATCAGGAAAGTAGGAAATGTGAAACACTGAACTGTAACCCCTCAAACCCCTCAGCAGCTTGCCTTTGTGCATCTGAGCGACGTGAAGTTAGGAGCCAAAAAGGGTTGCACATGGTGTTGATCTTAATTCAAATCTGAATCTTTAAACGTATTTTTAAACATGCCTACCTTGTGAAGTTAAGTCTTCGTCCTTAGTGTCTGTGAAAATAAATGTCTGAGGAGGAAAAAGAGAGAAAAAGGTGGATTTTAAAGTCTTCTTCCTCATCCTCTGTTATAAATTCTCATTAAACATTCAGAAATCTGTTTTGATTGACCAAATTCTGAACATATTCCCATTCTTAAATGAATACGGTAAATATACAGAGACATGTGCCTGGTCTGCGTTGTGCTCAGGAGGAATAGGGTCGGGTTAGTCTCGCATTTGCAAGTGAATAAATCTTGGATCACAAACACTTTTATGTTTTTCCATCACAGCTTTTTGTCAGGCTCCACAGTCCTTCACCTCACTGAAAGGCAGACGCTTGTTTGTGAACAAATCAGTGGTGTAGCTCTGACATCTGGTGGTGAAAACTGTAAATTCAATTTTATGTTTTTAAAATGAGGTAAAACCAAGTGATTTTATAATTTATATATTATTTATCTTTGAATATCAATATTTTACACGATGTTATAGACTGGAAACACAACTTACTAAGTCTCCACACAAAATATTAATGTCAAAAAGTGATTTCAAGAATATGAAAGAAATGGAAATACAGGGTGTGTCAGAAGAGAAAATAACATATGAATACCCCAACAAGTAATGGGCCTAGGTTATGTCTAGAGAAAAGCCGCCATCTCAAAAGTCACCTTATTCGATCAAAAATAAAAGTGTCTTGTGACTTTTGACTCACCCCATCTAGGTCTAATAATAAGTAAAAATATTACATTTGCTGAAATCCCATGTCATGCTAATTAAAATGGGAAAAATTACTCAAAAGATTCCTTCAACACGTTCTGAGTATTCTTAATCAAGTTTATTCAGCAGGCAGTGGAATGTAATGATTTAAATCTGTCCTGTCCATAGAGGGGTGGGTTTGCTCCAGAGGAAACCGCTCTAATTTCAACAACCTGTCAGGCTGAACCTTCCAGTGCGCTCGACTTTCTTTGCCAGTGAGGCACTAAATAACCTCGAATGGGACAAATGACTTGTTACATTAGACTAAAAAAAAAAAACATTAAGTCATGTTTTTATTCAAGGGACTGATTTAATGCTTTGGTGGGAACACAAAAAGACTAAGTTTTAGTCCAAAGTTTTTCTGAGCACAATTTGGGGTCCTAGTGACAATAAAATTAAAATTAAAAAAACATGTCCATCAATTTATTAAATGCTTCTCCAGCACATAAATCTACCTGGTGACTCTGTTGACAAGTGATATAAATGGATTGAATCAGTATTTTATGAAGGAAGAGGGGCCAGACAGTTTTATGGCAGGAGTGGCTCGTCTCGATTGACTTTGTATCTCAGGCCATGTAGGGGGGTTCGTGTGTGTGTGTGTGTGTGGTGTGTGGTGACACTTGGGGGCAATTTTAAGACAAAATGCCTACATTTGGGGACAACTGGTGTACATTTGGGGACAAAAGTCGAGTCCCCATTCAGTTTAAATGCCATTGGAGGGTTGGGGGTTGGGTTTAGGACCAAGGTGTGAATTGAGTTTAGGTTAGTTTTAGGGTCAGGTGAACCTGTGAGGTTAGCCTTAGGGTTTGTGGTCAGGGTTAGGCTGTAGAAATGTAATTGAAGTCAATGGAATGTCCCCAATTTGATGGCTTTCTGACAGTTACGATATTGGATTTAGACATACAATATTTTATTAGAAAGAAAATATGGCTGCACTCTTGGGTGTTCTTGTAGAAGCTGTAACTCAAATGTAAAACAGTGAGTAAAGTGAGGAATTAGTGACTGCACTGCATATTCTTTGAATTACACATTGTTTGTGTGTGTGCTAACCCCGCAGAAAAAGAAACCTCATCCCCAATTTCTTTAATTTATTTTCTGCTCTCAGCAACATAAGAATGCCTTTAAATCTCAACTTTTGTCATTTTATTATAATTTAAAGAAATATTTTTTTCAAAAAGTGTCCCAAAACTTGTTCATTTTTTAACTTTATTGTCTAAACTCCCTGGTTTCCCTCCATCTTCTCTCCATCTCGCCGTCATGTACTGTAGTCGAATTGTAACACTCTTCAGCTCCTCCTGGGGGGCATTAAAGGCCAGAGAAAAACACACAATCCCTTCAGCAAATTCTGGGTTTGTCCTAGGGCCTCTTCCCAGTGGCATATGCCTGAAAAATCTCTCCATGGAGGCAGCCAGGAGGCATCCTGTACAGATGCCCTCACCCACTCCTTTTGATGCGGAGGAGCAATGACTTAACTCCAAACTCCCCATGGATGACGAAGCTCCTCACGTGAGCTAGGCCACATTGTGAAGGAAATTAATTTCAGTTGTTTGTTTACAGGATATCCTTTTTCTGTTGTGATCCATATYTCATAATTATAGGTGAGGGTCCCTGGTATCTATATGATACTCTGAAGGCCTACGCCTATGTTGCCCTGTGTTTTCTGATACCTATGTCCCCCTGTCAGTCTACCTTTGTTTCCCAGTACCTATGCTTCTATTTACCTAAGTTCCCTGGTACTTATGTTACTGGGGAACATACACTCACAGGCCACTTTATTAGGTACACCTGTCCAACTGCTCATTAACATAGCATGGCAGCAACTCAATGCATTCATGCATGTAGACATGGCCAAGACGATCTGCTGCAGTTCAAACCGAGCATCAGTATGGGGAAGAAAGGTGATTTGAGTGCCTTTGAACGTGGCATGGTTGTTGGTGCCAGAAGGGCTGGTCTGAGTATTTCAGAAACTGCTGATCTACTGCGATTTTCACCCACAACCATCTCTAGGGTTTACAGAGAATGGTCTGTAAAAGAGAAAATGAGCGGCAGTTCTGTGGGCACAAATGCCTTGTTGATGCCAGAGATCAGAGGAGAATGGCCAGACTGGATAGAATGACAACAGTAACTCAAATAACCACTTGTCACAACCGAGGTCTGCAGAAGAGCATCTCTGAACACACAACACATCAAACCTTGGGGTGGATGGGCTACAGCAGCTGAAGACCACACCGGGTGCCACTCATGTCAGCTGAGAACAGAAAACTGAGGCTACAATTCACACAGGCTCACCAAAACTGGACAATGGAAGATTGGAAAAATATTGGTCTGATGAGTCTGGATTTCTGCTGCGACATTCGGATGGTAGGGTCAGAATTTTGCATCAACAACATGAAAGCTTGGATCCATCCTGCCTTGTGTCAACAGTTCAGGCTGCTGGTGGTGGAACAATGGTGTGGGGGATATTTTCCTGACGCACTTTGGGCCCATTAGTACCAACTGAGCATTGTGACAACACCCCAGCCTACCTGAGTATTGTTGCTGACCATGTCCATCCCTTTATGATCACAGTGTAACATCTTCTGATGGCTTCCAGCAGGATATCGCTCCATGTCATAAAGTGTGAATCATCTCAGACTGGTTTCTTGAACACAACAATGAGTTCACTGTACTCAAATGGCCTCCACAGTCACCAAATCTCAATCCAATAGAGAACCTTTGGGATGTGGTGAAACGGGACATTCACATCATGAATGTGCAGCCGACACATCTGCAGCAACTGTGTGATGCTGTCATGTCAGAATGGACCAGACTCTGAGGAATGTTTTCAGAACCTTGTTGAATTTATGCCATGAAGGATTAAGGCAGTTCTGGAGGCAAAAGCAAGTCCAACCTGATACCAGCAAGGTGTACCTAATAAAGAGGCTGGTGAGTGTAAGTGAATGCTCTCTTTCGACTCAACTACCTCTGCGTTATGAAAGCAACACCCTCATTATTGAAGACAAGGAACCAATCCATCTCTTGCTTCATCATCCCTCATAAACAAGACACTGGGAAACTTGAACTTGAGGCAAATATTCAACCCCTCCAACCCAAAGAGAACATTTCACCCTTTGCCCTCCATCTTTAACGGAGGATTCATACCTGAGTCAATCATCCACTCCACTCTCTCTACAACAGCCACTACACCACTAAAACCCCTTGATTTTTTTTCCTCTCTACACTGCTTTAAGTCAAAATAAACTACCGGACCGAAATCATTCAACCTGAACTAAAGAACAAAAAGTGACAACATGWTGAAGTAAAGTAAATTGTGTTGCTGTTTTGACAGCATCAGGCAATTCATGAATCTTGTGTTTGTCACAAGATTTAGGAAAGATTTGTGATCATCTGTAACAGGAAGTTCCAAAATTGTTTATGAAAAAAGAGTCTGGTCAAGATTTGAGTAATTCAGCTTTTCATTTACCTTTTAGCATAAAATAAATAATAAATGTGAGGGGTATTTTGTTTATTGTTCCAGCAGGGACATCTATGCCGCACTCCTTTTGAGCTCATAGCAACTTGGCTGCTGAGGGCCTGACAGAAATGACTTTTCACTCAGCTTGTGTGTGTGTGAAGGGTTTGTAAGTATGATGAGGTTCATTTTGTTCTGCAATCTGCGTCTCAACTTCCTGTTCTGTGAGCAGCTTCCGTTTCAGTATTGTTAACAAAGTCACAACACAGCGGCTGCTTCCCCCACAGCCCAGACCCTCACTGCTTCCTGTGTCTCTGTTTTCATGTGTAATATCGCTCCTTCACAAGTGTTTTTGTGTCACTACATGTGTCGAAGGTCTGCTTTTTGATTTCATGAATCCTTTCTGGAAACAGTGTTTCGAGCAGTGCAAAGGCATAAACCAGCATTTTCTGAGAAAGCGGAAGATGCTGCATGAGTCTTCCTCTTTCGATCTAGTCTTTTATTTAATCTTCAGTGCTTTTAGCCATTTTTTCCTGAATTAGGTGACAGAAAACAAGAAGTTGTGAGACAAATACATTTTTCAAATCTGCTGACAAAAAAGCTGTTTTTTTAAATGGAATTAAATGACTACAACTATATTTTTGTAAGTTTGTATGTGTTTATGTGAAAATAAGGTTATAAAACTGAAACAGCAATGTCATTTGTTTTCCTTCCAATGAAAAACTGCACCACTTCTTGTTTAAGAAGCTTTTTTGTTGTGATTGTATAATAAAACTGTAAAAGATGGTAACATTTTAGACATACAGTTAAAAATTATATGTATTGTTGACAGAAATTAATGTTTTTGATTTTTATCCAGTTTTTGGATGGATCTATTGTTTTCATATGAGGGATGTTGCATTATTAAATTTTCAGATATTCCTGAAAGTCAAAGCTTCCCAAAAGATTTACTTCTGGACTGAACCACATCAAATCTTACTTCAATGTTCACTAGAAACACTTCAACGCAGCATTCCTGCAGTTTCTAAAATCTTACAACATCTAACTKAATCATCTGCAATGGCTCAAAAAGTTGTTTTTAGTGGATCTCTTTTCAAATGTTTTCTCTCATGGTTACAGGAGAAAAGAGAAGCCAAATATAAGTAATTTAATTTAACCCTAATCTGATCTCACTTGCTTCAAGATTTGTTTTTGAGAGATGTAGGAACTGTGACAAGAAAGCATCTGTTCTAAAAGAGAAATATTGTGTTCAAACAGACATTTGAACCATTTTAAAGTTGACTTTCATGAAGCTGTAGTTAAAGGAAAGTGACAGCAAATATGACAGTATAATTAACACTATTATGGTCGATTTAACGTTAAACAGTGTTAACAGTGGAATATTTGCTGTGCGTCATCTCCAGTTCACATATCGACTTAAACGGTCTCCTTCTTATTTTAATATTTCACGTTTTTGTAAAGCAGCTACATGACTGAGGAGTTAAATATTTAACTCCTAAGTCTGAGAATAACAGACACTCACATGCGTTTTGGTCTTGGAGATCCACGTCTCCAAAAGAAGCGCGAGCCGCGTCTTGTGAAACCTTCCGGTGGTCTTCACAGCTATGTAGATGTCCTCTATCTTCAGCTGGGGCTGAGTGACATGTGGACCCTCAGAGCCCGGGAGTCTCCCGCTCTTGGCATGATGCTGGGATTCACCTAAGCTGCTGGTGATGCTCCTGTTGGACGCAGAGCTCCGTGCGTCCTCGGAAAGAACCTGCTGGATAGAGCTGCGCTGCGCGCCAAGTGACGGTTTGTGATCCGCGTTGATTCTGGGGAAGCTGCTCGTGCGTAATTGGAAATCCACGAGGACAATGATGAAAAAAGTGAAAATGATGACAAGCAACCTCCGGCGAATCCATCTTTTACGCATGATAGACCAAAGAATTACAGAAATCTACAAGACGCTGAAGTTTCCTCATTTAAACCCATCCGCATGTTTCTTCTCAGAGGAGACTTCCTTCGCATTTCTTTCAACTCATATCCAAATGTTAAAGATCAGAGTAATCTCAGTCCTAAACCTGATCAATGTTTGGATTTTTTTTCTCTGTTAAGAAACCAACAGCGTATCTAAGATTTTTTTTTATTTTATTTTAATATTTAGTTCTGCTAAGATCAACCTGACTTCAATCTGCCTAAAACCGCCTGTCATTTAGTGTGAAGACAGCACGCCCTGCAGAATGTTTCCTTTCACTGCCTTCAAAATAAAACGCAATTATAAATCGCTTCCGGTTGTAGATGACATGGGTCATAAAAAATACATAAAAGATTTGTTCTCACACACAATGTCATCTACCCCCCCCCCCCACCCCCGGCACACACACACAATCGTTGCTTGTTTTTACATTGAAGCGGATGATTTCTGATCACTGATCCTCCATAAACAGCAAACCTGCAGCTGCTTCTTCCTCAGCTCACAGGAACTGACAAAAAAAAAAAAAAAAAAAAGTCTGAAACTATTAAAAAACAAACCCGAACCATAGATTCAACAAGCTGGTCAGCAAACAGCAGATTTTTTTTTCTTCATAAAATATTTCGAATAAAAGGTGATTACATAGCATACTCAGTACTTCTTCCCTTTACATAAATGTGCTTGGCTTTGATTAGACAGTAAAAAGTAAAAATAGTTTCAGCATGAGGGTGTTCATGACAGAAAATTTGACTTTAGTGTCCAAACTGAAAAGAGTTTATCCACCAGGGAAATTCTTCCTATTAAAATTTTTTTGAGTTTTATGCCAACAGTGAAAATTTCATCAAACTGAATGTGGTTTTGAAATAGACAGACAAAATATAAGTAATTAAACCTCATCATAACATTTTCAAATCTGATATTTGGTTATACTTTGTTTTCACATAGTCAAACATATTTTAAAAAAGATTTTGGTCAGTACGTTTCGGTCTTAAATTTAGCTGCTTTTCTCCCTCATTGTTTGCCCAGTCCTTGAATTTGACACCATTCTTCATCATAGTTAGAACTTGATGGATATGCTACATTCTTTAGTCTGATAGCCTGCTACTTATTTTAAGATTTTCTGAGTTACCCTGTGTGTTTAAAGTTGTAAGATGTGAAAAATGAGAAACAAGGAAAAGCATCAGGCTTACAAAGCACAATGAACAGCATCTGGAAGTCATGTTTTGAGAATTAAGACAACAAATTAGCAAAGTCCTGACACAGAACCTGACACCATCCTTCATCTTGACCATAGTTAGTTCTTAGCTGGCTTTATGGGAATCAATTTAATGGCACTAAAATATTATTTAATGTGTTTTGACTTTTTAAAGATTGATTCTGTGACTGAGTGCAGACAAAAGCCCATAATTGTCTTTTGCTGTATGTGCTGAAACAAAGCTGCTTCCTTTGAAGTTAAGAGCCTTAATGCCTGAACAATTCTGTCAACCTTAAGTGGCTTCATAAATCTATTACCTACAATCACTTACAAGAAAGTATGGCATTTTGAAAGAAAGAGAGAAAGAAAGAAAGAAAGGATGTGTTAAGACTATTTCACAGAACAGTGCAATAGTGTGACCCCCGTGACCCTGAAAGGAATAAGCAGGTATAGATAATGGATGGATATACTGTTTATTGCTGAAAGTGCAATGAAGTTGTTTTATTTTTCCCTTTCATTTTTTTATTTTAATAATGTACAACTTTGAATGTGTGCGTTCATAATCTATAATTGGAAACAAATACTATATTATAGCATAATCTACAATTGTTAAAAATATATAMTTGTTTAAACAGGCCTTTTAAACAGAATGCCTGTTTAAAAGCAATTCACTAATTGTGTTGAAACCTCTGTGAACGTGTAAAAACCCACTGAGCTATGTCTACATTAAATATATGAAATTTTTGGACTCCTGAGAAGCCGTATTGCTCTCTCTGAGCTGAAGTGTCATGTTGTATCAGCTGTCTACTGTTCTCTGTGCTGCTGTCTCTGGAGGCCAGAGCCAAAAAGTGAAAGAGCTCTGTACGATTAATTCACCTCAGACCTTCATCGCCACTTTTGTTTATTTGTCTTTTCTCAGCGTTCTCGCCTTACATCCATCCCTCTGCCTCCCCTCCCTTTCTCCATCTCTTCCTTCCCCACTGACCAGCTGCTCTCCTCCTCTCCAACACTCAGGTAAGCAAGGACACATCCATCCAACCCCACCCCTCCTGGTCCCGCAGGTAAACCAGAGACGCCCGGGGAAACACCCTGGCCAAAAAGAGGCCCAGCATCGCCTTACGGCCTCGCTCAAAAGTCCTCTTTCTAAAGCAGCAAGGCACAACACAGCCCCACTTTGAACAAAGAGCCAGGGGAGTCGAGGGACCAAACCCCCTTTCAGGTCTTTGTGTCTCTGATTAAGGCTCCAAGTCAGACAGAGGCTTGGACTGCAATCAAGAGCTGAGGTTGAAGTCAAAAGATCAAGGGCTGGAAACTTTTACAGACAACTTTTATTAAAAGTAAATTTGAAAAGAATCATTCCATCCAAGAACTGTTTCCTAATGAAAGAACAGCACTGATCACACTGAAATCTATAAAAGGGGACAACTCTTACAAATAAACCACATTGTAAGGCCAACATTGTAAATAAGAAACTGTTCTTAATGTTTTGCCTGTTGAAATAAAGGCTAAATAAATACATGCACGTAAACAAACAGAACATATTTTTGATAATTTAAACCCTAAAAAAGAGCGTAACAGCAGGAGAAGTTGCATGTATGCAGTGATAATAATTTACTGTAAATAGTCATGTGAAAGATATTTGTGTGCCTGTTATACAGTGGTTGGTCAGTAGGGGGAGACATAAACCAGTTCATTCTTCTCTCTGCCAAGCTCTACATGCACTGAGCTAACATGATTTATAATGTTTTATAGATTTTAACATATTAACAATAATATAACAATCATAAATAAATAAATAAATAAAACAAGAATAACAATCAGTCTATTTATGAGAATAAAAACAAACTSATATTGTCGCATCATACCACTTTATTGAAACTTTGTTAAAATGTCTTGACACAAGGACCATATTCATGCAGTGCAATTTGTAAATACTTCACTTATCTCTCCTGTTGTGTTCGTTTCTGTTAGTTTCTGAGGATCAGAAATAATGTTCCTGGCCTGGGTCAGTTTGACCCAGGTAATGTTTGATAGTGCAGTAATGTCAGAAACAAAAATAATAATAAATAAATAAACCTAACAAACCCAAAACATTTTTGTATCTGATTATTAACTCCATTAGTAAGCATTTCAATCAATTGATGGTTTTTTTATTATTTCTCACAGATAAGGATCAATGAGGACAATTCACTCATTTTTCCACTAAAAATATATATTACAATTTTTATGGCCCCTGAAAAAAAACCTACATAATGA